GTTAATGTTGATGCCCCTCCGTTCCAGATTGTATTAATATTAATGCACTGTCACTTGGTGAGATATATTTAATTGACTCGTATCGGGAGGTGAGGTGAGAGTATTGTTATATTGCATCGCTGCTGTGACTCTTCAGTATTAACCCTAATTATAACCTTCGTGTTGAACGTTAACAGTAATGGCCCCAGTATAGCCATTAAGAGTTCCGCTTTCTCTTGGCTCGCGTACTTACTTCACTTCTCTTGGTTATAAACTGCCCTTGCACTGGTCTGCACATTGATTATGCATTTTATTTACAGCCCTTAATTAGTCCACTGAATACCCATGCTGTGTCAGTCATGGGGGTTATTTAACCATACTTTTGCCATGCTAGTGAGTGCGGGTTGGTCAATGGGCAACCCAAAGACCGGTTTGGATATCACACGTCACTGATGTTAACCATGGCTGGGAGTCGAACTCGCGTGAAACGGGTTCGTAATGCGGTGCACTAACCCACTATGCTACCGCTCCTCCCTCTTCTAGTTCATAATAGTTTATTATTTTTTGTACTGTGTTTAAATTGCATGCTTCAGAATATAGTTGAGGATACATTAGCGGCACGGCGAAATTACCCCCACATTAATGACGCATTGGTTCAACAAGCCAATATGTTAATACAGCAGTGGAGAGCACTCATTTCATCATTAAAATTATTTCTTTTTGTGGAGGCCAATGTTGAATTAAAACCGGTGAACTCTAAACCCAGAGGAAAAAAACACGGCAACACAGAAGCCCTGCAGCCACATATTTGTATCTTATTAGGGATGGGACTTTAAGGTGATGACAACGTCAATATTCAATAAATTATCGGACCACGATTCCAATATTAATGCGAGAGCGTGGTGCCGGAGGCAGTGGCATGCATCTAAGATACGACGCACCATTAATATCACTTCCCTTTTTGGCTGTTGTCCAAATATTTAATGTGGTCACCTGGCATGCCAACCTTTCCGACATTAAACCGAACCCTCGTAACCAAGTACACTTTCAATGCAAGCCTCCATCAGCAATCGCATCACGTCGTACGGCGTAGTATCGTTGTGCCCGCTTTGGTCGTCGCCGTTGTATTATTTGTGTCGCCCGCTTCTGCCTATGGCAAATGCTTTCAGTCTCCATCTCGCGACCATCACTCAGCTGCCCTTGCCCATGGGGCTACTGCTTTGTCCTTGTTCGCCAATATCTAGTGGGGTTAGAATAGCCTCCCACAGCTCATTGCGCAGCGCTCATGAGCAGCAGGTGCATTAGCTTTAGCTCTTCTCAAGGCCTGCTGGTACATCGTGCAGACAAGTGGGAATACCTGGATGATGTATGCGTACACGAAACTGGGTAGGAAACACGTGCCTGAACTAAAAACATAAACTGCGGCGGAAACGAACAAAGTGTTTAACAGAACAGAACGTGTTCGTCTGTTTGTGCCGAATTATTTTATATTAATACGCTGGGGGGGGGGGGGTAATGTGCTTCTTGTAATCTTTGGAGTTCATTACATCCATCCAGTCTCATAACAATGTTTGTATTCCTTGATTGTCTATCAGCCAAATTCATCGCGCTGTAACGTAGCAATAATCATTATTCTGGTTTCAGTGAGACCACATTTATCAATATTCATTCATTCTGTTTATGGATAGTGGTGTTTCATATCTATAAATGATGAGAAAAGCCATCACAGCATAAACATCAATGCAGGCTGGAAACGTACATTCAACAACATGCAAAGGTGTGCAGCACTGCATTTATAGCTTCCCTTAGCCTAATCCAGGCCACCAGCTCAAATACATTCCGTGGGCATAATACATATTCGGTACCAAAAAATACATTTTTTGATAAAATATGAACGTAATGATGGCTGCAAAGATTTGACAGTTACGTTGAATATATAAGCCAAGGCAGGGTGGTGGAAGGGAAGTTGCTAACCACACCGCATGGCACAAATTGCCAACGTTTTGGTAGCGTTTGATGGCCGAGTTTAAAGAAATGGACAAGGGTGACAATAGCACGGACTCTCGAATTGTCAGGTTAAGGACGTGAAAAAACAATCTCATTGAGGTTATACCCCATTCAATGAAGCTCATATATTGGAATGGTTAAATAAAGGGCACAGAAATGTTAAATCAACGGGGATGATGCCTAATTCAATAAAGGGCACCAATAAGTAATACAACCTCGACTGGGTGGAATATGGTTAAACAAAGGGTATTTAGAAATTAATTATAATAATCTTAGCGGTTCCTCAGATCGTTAAGTAATATGAAGAATTAATCTAAATGGACTGACTCGCAGATGGTTAAAAAAATGACGTGAAATCATGAATCTCAATCGGTTCTCTCAGATTGTTTTATCTCAATGGGCTCGCGAATGGTTAAATCGAGGACCTGAATAAATATTGGATCTCGATGGTCTCTAAGAGGGTTCAATACAATCCAATTAACATCTTTCAAACATGTGAGAGGGAAAAAAACACTGCTGCACATACTTACGTAAAAATATGTTTACGCAGTTTTAGACATTGACGGAAAAAATATTTTCGTAAAATTGTAGACCTGTAGCATTCGGTGTTCACTAAGATAGGGTTTGAAAGTTAAACGTTTCATTCGTTCTTCAACCCTTCTTTCCTGATGATCCACTCGGGATCACTATTGTTTGTGATATTGAGTGACTAAGTGGCTCATTCCACTACTCATGTTCTTATGCGCTACAGCCAGAGCAGTTATACCTTGAAGGTTTTAAGGAGTTAATTAAACAAAAACATAACTTTTTAAATTTTATTTTCATGCGTTTGTCCATGTCCCTAATTATTCCTCAAAGTTTCAGTGAAGAATCCGATATTCAAATTGTGCTGTCTGCATACTGCCATGATGCAAGGAATGCCCAATGTGAAATGTATTGCAGCCAGCAGTCCATCACCCTGTGTTAGAGAACGCCTTCTGGGAGGTTATCACATAACTACTTTTGAGATCCCTTAAAATTGCCTCCTATCCACACGGGGGGAGGGGGGGGGTAACACTTTCCTGCATACCCTGCTGTAGATAATACAGCATTGGTGTTTTTTGTGCGGTTGTGCTGTATATCTCTAATGCATTTTCAGGTTGCACCGGGTATTTGTAGGCACGATACCCCAATGTTGATCTCCACTCGCTGGTCAGGAAGGGTTCTCCAGTGTGTGTATAACAAAAAAATATAAATGCTACCTCTTTGCATTCATTCTCAAACATGACATAGCATTTAGCAAGTGGCATGCCATGTTTAAAAGCCATAAGGTGGTCAGGTTGCTTAGGGGTCATCACAGTGAGCCTGCACTACTGGGATCCTGGGTTCCAACTCGGGTTTCAGTCACCCATTAAACCAAGTGCAGCAAGAACAAGAACCCGGCGTCAGCCCAGTCAACAATGACTGTTGACAAATTCCTGCGCTAAAAAGTAGGAGTTTTATGACTGCCATATGACACGTGTCTATCGCCCGGCCATCAATGTGCTTTCTGGTTGTACCGTATGTTGCTCAGCATGACGTCCAATGTGTTTCTCAGTGGCCCTCTTGTGCTTCAAGCCCAGTATATGTCTGCATATAAAATAAAACGGGAGAATCAATGTACTTAATGAATATAAGTATTGATATTTGGTCGCAATATTTAAATATTAATTATTCACAGATCAAGTTTTTTTTTCCCTTTCATGTATCACATTTTCACAGCAAAATAAGGAAAGGATAATTTCCTCGTGAGAAATATCATTGCATTGATGGCAGGTCTTTCTCAACGCTCAAAATTTCACAATGTCTCATATATATACGCACAAACTATATTGTGGAGCAGTTATTGGGGCACCGAGGGCCTTCTTATAAAATGAAATAAAATAAGATACAGTGAAATAAAAAGCACACCAGGAGTCTGAGGACCTGTTAAATAATGCATGGGATGACGCCTGACCCTTATGAAATAATAAAGTAGTGCAGCGTTGGCGCAAACGCTTCGGAATTCATTTACCGGGTCTGGCACGTGCCGTGACCTGTACAGAAGTGGCCATTAATAACTTTTAGTCTCAAAATTTGTGCCCGTGGCATAACAATTTGTCCGCCTTAAGCTCAGCCACGGGACTTTAATTTGCGGATTGTAATAAAAAAATAACAAAGGATTTAAAAAAGGATACCGAGTAACATCTGAAGCTATGTTATTACAAGAACCATTGCAGTAAATTATCTTACGTTATCGACAAAAGCCGCACGGAGTCCGAAGACTTTTTGTTTTTGGGATATTTGCCCATTTTCTTATTACCTAACACTTTAGTATGTAGGAGGCAATGAAAGTATTTGGGGGTAAGCCATGAAAACGGTTACCTACTTGCTCTACAGCTACGTACTTGCCACCTTGTATGCTCTACAGGTGGGTGTCGAGCACAACATAATATATGCGCAATCCAGCAGTCTCTGCCACCCAAGCATTGGCGTACAGGTGTGTGTGTGTGTGTGCCAGAAATTCACGTTGTATTACCGCAGCAGATGGAGGTATTGCAGAAAAAAAATCCACGTATTTTTAACCAGTAAATAACGAACAGATGCGCAGGATTTTGAATCTATGGGTTTGGCTTATATAATTTATGACGTCTATAACGAGAGCTCGCAGGAGATCACACTTGGTGAGATGTTGCCGCACGGCCATGTAGCAGTGATGGATGTAAAGGTTTGGCTGTTGATGTGCAACAGCCAAACCTGGAGCGGGCAAACCCTTGTGAGCTGGAGGTGGGGGGTTATTGCAAATTAATTTTGTCTTCAGCACGAATGTATGTGCTGGTATCTGTGTGGATATGTGTGTGCATGTCGGTGTGGAAACATCGCTCATGGCGAGACAAAGGCAGCTGGGCGTGGTGCTGGTCACCCACCCCCTCCTGCACCGTTCCTGCCTTCATAGGTGCTTGCTAACAGCACTTGCCCCAAAAGTCTTCAAGGCTATGCAGGGGATCTTTGTTTTGTGTGTGTGTAGGCAGGCTGGATTGTGTGCTGGCCAGACAGCACCCACTCATCTACTGTGCTCCCCTTAATAGTAGGTGCTTTCTCGCAGCATTTGCCTATGTGGATGTGCTGGCCCGTGGTGTGGCCAGAGCAGCGGTGCACTGGTTATCGAATTGTGCCACGATCCGATTGGCTAGGGCTTTATGCCTGGCTGTAGACATCGGTGGCACGTGGTAACTGAACCTGTCCTCCGCCAAACCCTACGTCCAATCAGCCTCAAGTGAGGACCTGGTGCAGTGTGTTCACCATTGGTGGTGTTAGACACAAGCAAAAGTAGATGGCCTCGTAGGGGTTTTATGACATTTTTAGAATAATATTAGCATTTGTTTGTTGTCCTTCCCCCCCACCCCTCCGATGAGCACGGTTAGCTACGTATGGTGCGAAAGAAGTTCAACATGCATCAAAACCCACAAATATAGACGCACATAATGCATGTATATAGGTGGCAACTGTACGTCTGTGGATGTGCATTGATACGTGTTCAAGTGTGTGTACACATTTGTGTGTGTATCCGTACGAAGTTCAACACTGTTACGTCTCTGTCAATTGCGATGCATTTGTGAACATGAAAACATCTGAAGTGCGTCCACTTAAAAAGTTCGGGACGGTGCTTATTTGTGTTCACGACCCTGGGCGCCATCGCTGCAAATTTCACATTCCCGTGGCAGTGGCTGCTGCAGCCGTGGGACAACCGCTGTTGACTCCCCGCAAAGTGGCAGTCACACGCTCCGCGTCAAGAGCATTCATTGGTGGTCGATGTGAAGCCATTGAAACGCTCGCCAGCCGTGTGCGGCCAAAGCCTCAAGTGTTCTTTCCGCCTCAACAAGTGCGGACCCACGGAGCAAAACGGTGCCCGCTGCGCGCGCGCGACCCGTAGCGCCCTCGGCCCCGCGACTCCGCTGCTGTAGCGAGGCGTTCGCCGAGGGACGGTGTTTGGTGTTTGGACCAGCGGCGCGGGGGACCTGCGCCACCCCCCCCCCCGCCCCGCCCCGCCTCTGTCTCTCCCAGGCACAGCGCCGGTGCCTTCTCGGGAGTTCTCGATGAAATGTTGTGCCCGCCTGGCTGCACCGCGCAGTCAGGCTTTGTGCGCCGCCAGTCTCTTTCCGACAGCGTGGCGCTGCCTCCCTCTCTCACCGCTGCCTCCCTCTCTCACCGCTGCCTCCCTCTCTCACCGCTGCCTCCCTCTCTCACCGCTGCCTCCCTCTCTCACCGCTGCCTCCCTCTCTCACCGCTGCCTCCCTCTCTCACCGCTGCCTCCCTCCCTCACCGCTGCCTCCCTCTCTCACCGCTGCCTCCCTCTCTCACCGCTGCCTCCCTCTCTCACCGCTGCCTCCCTCTCTCACCGCTGCCTCCCTCTCTCACCGCTGCCTCCCTCTCTCACCGCTGCCTCCCTCCCTCACCGCTGCCTCCCTCGCTCACCGCTGCCTCCCTCTCTCACCGCTGCCTCCCTCTCTCACCACTGCCTCCCTCTCTCACCGCTGCCTCCCTCCCTCACCGCTGCCTCCCTCTCTCACCGCTGCCTCCCTCTCTCACCGCTGCCTCCCTCTCTCACCACTGCCTCCCTCTCTCACCACTGCCTCCCTCTCTCACCACTGCCTCCCTCTCTCACCGCTGCCTCGCTGCCACCCCCTCACCTCCCTTGTTCACGCTTTGCACGGACACGGGCAAAAACAAAAAAAGCCAGTAATTGCCCGGTTGTGCGTGTGCTATTTTCTTACTCCTGTGTGCGTTGTTGTCTTTGCTCTTGCTTTTTTTGGTCATGCATATATCGGTAATATTTCTACCCTGGCTGCCTTTTCTAAAGAAGGACCATTGCCTGAAATGCTCGCCGCCTAGGGTTTATCGTTCTATTATGAGGCAGTGTTAATGGTGGCACATAGTGGCCTGTTGCCTTTATGATATTAATTATAGCACATTTGAGAAGCCTTGCTTGCTAATGGGCCTATATTGTGTGTGTATATATGGTTATGTGTGTGTGTGCGTGTGGGATGTCCGTGTCTTTATGCACGTGTTTTACTTCTCTCTACCCCTCCTCCTTACCCCTCCTCCCTTTCTCCCTTGTCTCTTTGGAAAATTACAGATCGCCCAGGGATCCGGGACAGAAAATGATCAAGCGTGTTATTGCCCTGGAAGGAGACATTATCAGGTAATTCAGCATCTCACCGAACAGCCTGCTCTCACATCCGCTGGCCGCAGGGGCAAAGGCTAATAGGAAACAGACGGATACATTCGGTGACTGATAGACAGGCAACTGGAAGACGCGTAAATAGACAAGGCAATTGAACGGACGTGGAGATGAGCACGCGGACGTACAAACAGACGGGCGATCATAGCGGCAGACTGGCGATACAAATGGATGTTCGGACACGTAGGTGATATATGGACAGTTGGACAAACAGACACATTGATAGATGGACACGGGGTTGGACGTGTGAACGAGATTGATACATTTCTGCTCAAATCCACATGCCCACAGATGGTTGGTGCATGTCTGGGTTGTGTATGGAAAACAATTGGAGGGAAATGTACCAGGTTTTGTGCATCTTGACAAAATATTAAATAAATAATTTTGACAACACCTCTTCCATCGAAGCCATTGGCATAACAGAGAGTAATCAAAAAAACATTTACACTAACCTTTAAGTAGAGGTTACTGGTATTTTGTATGTATAGTGGTGTGGCATATTTGTTCCCAAGCTGATTGAGTGGTGATTACTGATTGCCATCACTTTTGAACGCATAAAATAATTCCCTTCCCTCTTCCCTGATGCATACAAATTCAGTAAATCATGTTTTTCATGGGCATTTAATTTTCGTAAAGCGTTAAGCCATGCCTTTTAAAAAGAAAATAATTAGCATTGAAATTAATTACACCTGGTCGCTTTTAACCATTTCACCCACAATGCAAACAACAACAACGTCGCAGCAAACGTGGGCCGCTAGCACCTGTTCCTCCAACCGCGAGCTTACCCCCCCAAACAGCCTTCGCCTTTCCAACGGCGTTTGCACGCTCCACACCTATGAGCCACAAAAGCCACTCGTGCGGACATTAACCCCCCCCCCCGCCACCCCCGCCACCGACAGCAGCATGGAAAGTTTTCCCCGCTTGGACGAAGAGCACCAGTGCGTGAAGCCCCCGTGCTGCCCGGGCGCGGGTTAATCTCGAGTTGCTCTCGGCCGCGCCCTGATTGGCGTCCCGTGCGACGTGCCCCGCACGCCACGCAGGGCGACACATCCCCCCTCTGCTTGCCCGGTGTGCGGGCTGAGCCAACCCCCATATAATCTGCCCATTTATCACCGTCCACGTCCGGCGCATTAACGCAAAGCGACGCGGGCCCTTAATTTGCCCCTAATGGGTGTTTGGTACGTGCTGGGGGTGGGATGGAGTGGCTGTGGTGGGAGAGGGAGGCAAATTAGGGGGAGGATGATTATGGCGGTTGTGGTGGTGGTGGCGGCGGCGGTGCTGCTGCTGCTGCTGGAAGATGGCAAGGGCAGTTGGACGGATGGGGGCGGTGGGCTGAGAAAGTGGCACAGCCAAGATCCTGCAGTGTAAAGGCACGGGTAGGATATCTCTATCAAAGTCAAAGCATCTTTAGGCACATACTGGTGCGTGTGTGCGCGCCCGCATATATGATTATGTTGGTCTTCTTTCGCACTGTACGTAGCCAACCGTGCTAATCGGAGGTGAATGCACGCTATGCATGCACATTTTTCTGGAAAGGCATTTATTATGGAAATTGGATATAAACACACCTGCTATGAACACAGGTCTGATGTAAGTATCACGTGCTTACATACTATGGTGGGGGGGATGGGAAAGAACAGCTTTTGATCCAAGCACACCCAACGGGTGTGTTTAAATCTAGCTGCTACTCTGCATCAAAAACTGGGATTGCTTCTCTCCTCATATAAAATTCGGTAAAAATCAATACATTCGTCAATAATACAGCCTTAAAAAGAAAAATATAAAAGAGCTGACATTTCAGGCAATGCCCCTTCATCGTGGCACATAAATGATCAAATTTAGGTAGTTCTCGTATGAATTAGCTTCCCTGATCCAGTGGTGGGAATTACGTTTGCTATCGCAGGGGCCAGTGTCCCCATAGGACGTCTTTGTAAGTGGTTGCAATTCTGGACTGTGCGTGTAAGACCAGCTGATGCACAACCGGGATCTAGAAATGTGAACAAACAGCGGTATTGATGGCTTTCGCGTCGGGTGTCTTAACTGTGCGTTATTTTCCCCGAGTCGTAATGTAAAGACATTTTTCAGCAGGGTGCTTTTGGTGAACTTTGACCGTTCTTTCAAATCAGGAGCCTTGTCGGCGAGGTTTTAAAAAAAATGTATTATTATTCTTGGCTTTTTGACAGATAAACGTTTTCCCGGAAAAGAAACGAATACGGAAACACGGGGAATGAGTGTGTCACCAAACAAACGTGGACAAGCCCCTGTGTTATCTAAAACTCGCGATTGCTTGCCAGCACGGTTGACTACGTACTGTGCGAGAGACGTTCAACATGCAAATACACATGCGACAGTACCCGACCACAACCACTGTGATCAACGCCATGATGTGCAGAGATCTTCATCCAGCAGCGGATTGATAAAGGGCTTGTGAATTAATATTACACGCAAAAACACGTTTGCTTTGTTCACCGTAGATCCCGTGAACAAACAATTGTTGTTAGTGAGCACCTATTAAGGCCACCATGATACACGGCAGGAAGGGGTGTGTGTTGTTATTGGCAGCATGTTGGCTACTTTCATTTCCCTGGGTGCTGAAGTTTACATATCATACAAGGTACTCCACTTAAGGCTGAGTTGACCTTGAGGAAGCTCAGGACAGGTGAAGATACCATATTATCATTTGCAACTGATGTAAGCGCTGGGAATCAAACTCAGGTCTCGCCCGAATCATGAATTACTGCTGCGTCGCTCCAACTCCCACCATCGCCTCACTCAAGAGTCCTTGAGAGCTCCAAACTCACACTTGAACTGGTTATCTGCGTGTTATTTACGCAGTCTGTTTGCCCATTGTTCATTTAACCTGCCGTAAACAGCACATTGTCTGCACATTCCTGAGACTCTCCTTGACTGCGACTGTGGTGCTAGGGCGGCGGTGTAAATCGATGCATACTCGTGTGTTGTGAGCGCACGTGTGGTGAGTGTGCGTGTTCATTCTGAGGGATGATGGTGCGTTGGTAAGCAAGGCTGCATCGCTGTTTTGATGAAACAGTTTTGATTTCGGGCTGTGGGATGCAATACTTATGGCAACCTGACCTCATTGTCCCCTAAGTTGACTCGATCTACATGGTACGATCATTATTCTCACCCGAGACCCAATGGTGATTGTATTTGTTTCATAATCAGTTTATTTTTGGTTAGATAATGTGAGTAAAATGTGAAATGTTTAACTGTAATCGTCCACCACCCGACAGAGCCACATGAACAAGTATGCCGATTGATTGGATTTTTCAGCAAACCAGAAATCTGAAAAGTAAGAAAAATGTGGACAATTTTGCACGATGTTTCGCTGGGGATTACATCCAGGGTCATCGGTTGTTAACAAAAGCTCAGCTCATGATCTAAATCAAAAGAAACACAGTTACCAATCATAATATTGGCCGTGAAAGTTTACGTATAGAAATGGTCATATTTGTGTTTGGTGCTGTGTGCACCCTACCCTCCGAGTGTGTTGTAACGACCTATGCCCACTATGTCAGTGTGTCATATTATTAAATATTTGCAATAGTTGTATTCATCATTGTCTTTTTATATGGTTGTAAAGCCACCAATTGTATCCCAGTTCGAGCAATGAGCGTGTGAAACAAGGGACAAGCTCCGTGCATTCTATTTCATTGTGAAGCCTCCTACACAGCCGAGTCCCGTACTCTCAATGGGCAATGTCTTCTGTAAAATCCCCCGCCGCAGGGCTCGGCTTGACTGATTGATTGTGCCCTCTTCGCTGCCCTCCCCTGCAGAACCCTGAGCTACAGGAACAGATACGTGCGCGTGCCCGAGGGCCACTGCTGGGTGGAGGGTGACCATCATGGCCAAAGTTTGGACAGCAATTCCTTTGGGCCGGTGAGTCCAGAATGACGAGTGCTGACACCACTCTCACGATTGTTAGCTCCATCGGTAGCCGTGCAAACAAACACGGCCACTACCCCTCGGCAGCTGCACAAACTAACACCGCGACTACCTTCGGCACAAACACAAAGTATCGCAGCCACTACCTTCAAACACCAACACATACTTCCATCACCACCACCACCACCATTAACGTACAAAACCGTAATCCGCACGAATGCGCACCACAACCACCACAACATCACCACCATTGCATTCAGGACAAACATACGCCACCACCATCCCCACCAACACACAGCAGCATTATTAGCACCATCAGCACCACCACGACACACACCACTAGCAGCATCACCAGAAACACACCAGCATCGTTTGTGTGGAGCACTGTGATGGCGAGATGTTATCTCCCTTGCCTGGCACGCAGGAGGTTCGTGGGTTCAATCTTGGCCTTGACGCTGCTTGTATATTTGCAGCTTGTGTGTTTTCTCTCTTCTCGTGGTCATGTGGATTTTTCTCCCGGGTCCTCCAATTTTGCCCTCCACATTTAGAAACATGCGTTTAGATAATTTCGCTACGACTACAAATTTCCAAATTTGATGACATAAGCCACTTCAATGAGCGATCATGTGTGGCCAGTGCGCCTCTGAAAAATAGCTAATAGTTAAGTAGGCTTTACCTGGTAATTTTTTTTTATTTAGTGTGAGAATAACACTATAATGAAGTGAAACATTCCCCTCAATGGATAGAATATCACGGCTGGGGTTTTTTTGTATTGGCTCCTTTAAAGTTGGTATTGTGGAACACAGAGGGGTGGTATGGTGAGCAAATATTTATGCATTCCCATTCGTCTCTGCCTCCAGTTGCTCGTTTCAAGCTGCGTTCACCCATTGTGAGAAAGGCTCAGCCTTTGTTCACGTTCCTATTGCCCATGGTTTTGTTCCTGGCCCGGAATCTAAGGGTGGGCCACCTGGCCCAATTTTTACATTCGCTAACCACTGCAACATCACCACATTCACCATCGTTAGCCACTGCATACATTTTTTTAGGATTCGTGAGAAATTGTGTAAATGTGCCAGCCAAAAAGTGTTGTAAGGTGGCTTGCACTCGTGGAATTATTTCGTCCAAGCATACCTACCTTGCTGATTTGGTCAAGGAGCTTAAACCTTCACGCAAACTGAGGTCATCCTCGCAGGGGCTTTTGGCTAACCATCGAACAATGACGGTGACCGCATCGCCTACTCTCAGATGCGCTTCTGCGGCCGTCTGGAACGCTCTTCCTTCCAGTATTAGGATGCCACTGGAACTATGCACTTTTAAATATAAATTGAAAACTCATTTCTTCAGAACTGCTTTTTGTGTTTAGTTTGTTGGCCTTCCCCCATACCTCCAAATTAGCATGGTTGGCTACGTAACGGTACACAAGAAGTTCAACATACATACATACATTTGTCTGGAATTTGCACGTATTTGGTCTCCTATGCCACTGCTCAGTGATGGCACAACAATGCTGACCACAGCCCTCCTGCTGTGATCCCACAAGAAGGAGTGCCTTGAAAATGTAGGTTTCCAGTGAGACAATGGGAGGACATATACATAGAGGAAAATAGAGTTTCAGAAACAATAACAATGCAAACTCCGCTAGAAAATCAGATAGAGGATAAGTTTGCAGGCCGCAGGCGCTATAAATGCAGAGCGTGGCATGACCCTGACCCTGCCACCCGTGATAAAAATGGAACCGACAGGTGTCCACTGCCACTGTGATGGAATCATTCGTTGCAGCAAAGAATGCGGGTGACCACGCCAATCCCATTGCAGCACCACGACATGCTTGAAGCATGATGCTTCTACCCACAACATGTCCCCCCCCCCCTCAACCTACACTGCCTCGGGTATCCAAAACTTTCCCAAAAAATGCTGCGATTTTTTTTTCTTGGCGTGTATGCACGCGTGCTCACGCGCGTGTGTGTGCACATGCGCGAGAAGATCAATGTCAAATTTGGTCTTATTTACTCGCAGCATCAGCAATTCCTCAACTGCCTGAGATGCGATTTGTTCCCAAGCGGAACATCAGCGACTGTGTGGCCCGGCGGTCCCAAGTCAAATTCTCTCGGTCGTGCCTTCTCTGTAAGGGTTGTCTCGTGAGCGTGAGTGAGTGAGTGAGTGCGCACCAATACTGGTAGCCCGCAAGTTCAACTGAAGGTGAGTCAAGCAGGCAGGGCATTTCGCAGAAATGGTTTTGGGTCTGGCGATGTGTCTTTTTTTTATACCAGAGATTGTTTTTGTTTATTTGTGCTGACAGATTTTCAGTGAATGTGTTGGCGATGCTGACAAAGTGGGTGATAAGTGATTGTAAGAGCTATTTGTCTGCCTGCGTTTGACACGGCTGTGTGTGTGCGCCAAGTGTATCTGTGTGTGCATGCGAACGTGCATTCGTGTGTTGTAGGGATTTGTAACAGCGTGGTTCGCACACTCTTGTTTACGATGCCAGCAACCCCAGCTCGATGTCACGCCAGGATGGTGCCGAATACCATTTGCAGTTATTTTTCTAAACCAGTCCTGGGCCTCTCCTCAACGGATGCAGCTTTAAATGAGCACCTGGTACAGTGGTGTGAACTTCAGCGCTGGGGAGAAACACAGTAGCCTCGCCAATCTGTTGTGTGCTGTGCCGACCGCATTTGGTGCTCGATAATGGAATTTGCCCTCACGGTCCATAAAGCTATTTGGGAGGTTGTATCATTGTGTGTACGTACATGTGTGTCAGGAGCAGTGTCAAAGTGGTTCACACATTCCATTACATTCCTGGTCACCTGGGTTCATTCCCAGGATATGCCACACAATATTAGTGGTAGTTGGAATCTGAACCTGTTTTAGTTTTTTCTTTAAATTATAACTAAATGTGCTGTGTGAGCATGAGCACTTGGGAGACGAAAGAGGCTGTGCATGGTGCTGACCACTCTCCCCCTTTGAATGCTACACCAACCTTCGTGGTTGCTTGCTTACAGCACTTACCCAGTAGTCTCTGCGGGCTAAATGAGGGGTAATTTTCTTGTGCACATGTCTGTGATGGGCAGTGGGTATGTATTGTGACCAAGATCTTTTCATTTTAAAAGTTGCACCATACCGAAGTTAGGTTTACATTGATGTCCCATCTGTGCGTAATGACCGTATGATAGAACAAGTGTCTTGGAATGACCTGTTACAAAGTGAAATATAATGCATTCAGAATTGTTTTTTTTATTGTCCCTTTCTCAAAACCTTCTCACCACCCAAGTACGCATGGAATTAATTACATTTAACCAAGCGCCTCGATATAAATATTCCACAAATGTATATAGAATAATTTTTTTCAAGGGAGCTCTGTCGTACTGAACACCATTCACATGCAAGTGATCCATTAAGTTGCTTAATGGCTGTCTGAACATATGCCCTGATTTTTTAAATGGAATATCTCTCTGCGTTTTTCTTTGAGCAGCATTGCTTTTATTCACAATGAAGTCTGATATGTATATATGTATAAAGTTTAACACTTAGCAGGCTTTTCGCGACCCATATCATCCATAATAGAGGTTTTTTTTGGGTTAGATTGCATAAATATATAAATGTGTCGTTAAAACCCGCTACCACCAGACAGCCAACTAGTAAGGGTTGTCACGTAAACAGAACGTGGCCAATTCGTCACTAGTACAGAACTAGTGTGTAGTAGTTTAGTGTATAGTAGTGTAGTGTATAGTGTAGTGTACTAGTACAGCACACCGGTGTGTTGGAGAGCTAAGCCACAACATTTACAACCTGAGTACGACGTTTCGTCAGTAATTACAACTAGCTTAATCAGGCGACAGCCAGGTTTGTGGTGAAGTTTTACTGTTTCGTTCCTTATATGGAGACGTAGATGTGGTGACCACGCTTCTGTTCTCTTGCGCGCAGTGGGGGGGGGAGTGATTACTGAGTCAACGTACATTATTCATGGGCATTATGCGAGCCCTTTGATCTTGTCCTTTCTGTATATTGTGTGTATTAAAATAGCCGTACTAACGGTAATCCCTATTGAAGTACGCTGCCCTTTATAGGCATGCATTTTTAAATTGTATTTTTTTATTATTCGCTTCCACGCAGCACTAAGGCGGTAGCTGTCCGAACGGTGTGTCTATGTTGTGTCTCTCTCTGTGTGTCTCTGTGTTGTCTCTCTCTGTTTGTGTGTCTGTCCGTGTGTCTCCGTGTCTGTGTTTTGTCTCTCTCTCAAATGTAGTTCTACCTGATGACGACTGCTTGTGTTGCAATCGAAACGTGGTATTCTATTTAATTTATTTTCTTTCTACGTGACTTTACCGAAAGAACCAAAGAGAGGTTAAAATTATTTTTATTTCTTTCAATTTCGATTGATTCTCTAATTATTCTTGGCCAGTAGTAGCTAGTTTTGCACGTAACTTCAACATTATCGAAATAAATTGAGTGTCCTTGTTGGCATGCGTGTTCTGCTACTGCTGACAGTTACATTTTGGAGAATTTAATATTTATCTGATGTTCTTTTAGTCTCGTCCTGATCATTCGTTCTGTTTGCCCAACATAACATTTAGCACACGTGCAGTTAATCCTGTACACACCTTCTGTTGATAGCTTCGGTAATACATCTGTTGTACCAGATATTAATTTCTGTATTTTATGTACTGTGCCAAATCTGACTCGGATGTTTTGTTTTTCCAAACATCTGGCTAGTTTATCAGTTGCTCCCACAATGTACGGTATTTTGATCATTATAATTACTTGGGCAGTTCAATGCTCGTGTTATTTTATTGGTTTTGGCATTCAATGCCCTTTTTTTTGTGCATCATTGCAACGGTTCATTTGCAGTGCTTCTTCAACATGTTGAATTTCACTTCTCGGACTGCCACCATCTGAAAGCAGAGTCACACCATCACCCCGCACATCAAGCTAAAAAAGTGTCAGATGGTGACAGTCTGAGAAGTGAAATTCAACATGTTCAAGGAGCGCTGCTG